AACGACTACTGGCTGGCATGCGGGGGCCACGATGGCCACTAGGTCGGTGATGTCGCATGTACCTCTCCACTGCTCGTTATTGGCCTCCGTCTTTACGGTCGCTGCCGGTGACCAAATAAAAACTCCCACCAGCCTTGAGGCGGCGTCAGACAGCAAAATGGCGAGCCCAACCCCTAGCGGGACGGCTCCTGAAGACAGACAGCGTTGTCAGTCTGACCTGTGGAGGCGGGGCGGTCACGCGCTTCGGGATGGCGTTGAGGCTGAGGTTGGTCATGCCAGCATGTCCGGAACCACCTGATTCTCGAGACGATGTAAGCAGACTGGGAAAGATCACGATCTCGGCGCCGTCGTCGCACCATTCCATAATGAGCTGGGCGACGCGGCGGCCCTGCTCGACCACGTGGGCCCGCGAGGTGGCGTTGCGCATGATGACTTTGATCCCCCCGCGGAAGTCGGGGCCCGCCACGCCGCCAGCGACGTCGACACTCTCGAGCGCGAGACCTGAGCGCGGGGCAATACGTATGCACATGCCTGGCGGCGCCAGTGCTGCGATGCCAGTAGGCACCAGCCCCCGACCACAGGTCGGAGCACTGGCGTCGAAGCTGGCGCACAGGTCACAGTCGGCCGAGCCGGTGGCGCTTCGCGCAGGGGCTCACGCATTCGGACTGAAAAGTTAAATCTCTAGCTTGTTGAATTCTCGCCCGTCGGCGTCGCGGTTATCCTGGTCGCCGTTGCCCACCGCCAGCAGCGCGAGCTGCCTGGGCGGCAGGCCCCCGCAGGGTGGCTGGAGCTTGCTGGAGCCGTCGACTGGAATGCACTGGCGCCCGCTCGGAGCAGACCCCAGGTCGGAAGGGCCGCTCCTAGGCTCCAGGTGATCCCACAAGTCCACCATGCCGAGACGTGCCAGGGGGCACGGCGGCGGATCTGGATGGGACACGAGGCGGCTGCCGCCGCAGCCTCACGCTCAACTGCCACCCGGCACTGTACTGCACCACCCAATCTCTCTGCAACCTCACGGAGGGAGTTCCCATATTATTCTCCACACTCCGGCGGGAGTGGCCATTGGGAGTCTGCGCCATCTTCGGATGCGTGCATGCGCGCGCACTACGGCGGCGGATCTGGCGCGCCAGATCAAGCACAAGTCGATCCACGGCAGGCACGACGGCACTGTCGAAGTCAACGGGGCCTCGTTGGTGATCGTTGGCCAGACGGCGGCGCCCTTTGCCGGGCGCTGGGGCATGCCGAGGAGAAGGTGCTGCGTCCTGCTGCGGTGGCCCCTCCTGCGGCACATCTCCCGCCGCTGCATCACGGGCGGGCAGCGCGGTTGCTGGGCCCGCGCGCGCGCGATCTGCACCCATGAGGCGGAAGTCGGCCACGACGTCGGCTGGTCCGCGGCACGCCGGTCAATAAACCAAGCTGGCTTCGGCGGTCTGCATGAGCGGCGGGCCCTACGGGCGGCGCGCGCGGCGCGCAATGCGTCGGCACTGGAGCCGCACAACCCTCTCGGCGTGGACGAAGGCCTCGAAACAGATAAGGCGCCCCTTATCGTCACCGTGGAAAACATCAACTGTAGGAGGTATAGCTGACGCGGCAGCACAGGAGGCGGGCTCGTCGGAGTCCCCGCCCAACTCCGCGCGGCTCCGCGCTGCTGGCGCGCCCGCTGTCGCAGTAGCTCCAATGCTAGCAGCGCGCCGCGGAGCTTGTCGAGGCGCCGTCGTCGAGCGCGGGAAACGCACGCAGTGCTCGGACCGGTTGCCGCTGGACATCCACGTCTCGCGGCCAGCAGACCTTGCGGCCACTCTCCCCGGAGGGCGGCTCACACCCACTGGCCTCTCTGCGTTCCAGAGGGAGTGTCCGGCACCGGCGCCGGCGCGGGCGCCGGCGCCAATTGCGGCGGCCAAACGGAGCTTGATCCGCACGGCGCGCCGACGCCGAGCGTCCACTGAGGGCATGTAGGCCCAACTCGGCAGTTGCACGTCGGCAGCTGGCGTCGCTGGGACTGCGGCCCGAGCGCGGAGGCCGCCCGGCCAGTCCGGGCCCTGGCCCTGCCCCGGGGGGGGGGCGCCGACAACTCGCGCCCAGGGTGGCAACGCTGCCGACGCTGCCGGAGCTGTCGGCGCCGCGCGGCTGGCGATGGATTCCCCGCCGCTGCCGAGTGGGATTTCAACGCCGTTGCGCTACCCCCCGGTTGAGAAGAGGCTTGCACGCGGCCCATGAGCTCGCCCATTGCCCGTCGCAGTCGTTGCAGTTCGGCTTCGCGGGGGTCGGGCAATGCCGATGAAGACGACGCACCCGCCCAACGTGACCACCGACTGCGGCCAACCTGTTGCCACGAACCGTCGGGCGGCGAACTTGGCGGAGCGGCTGCTGCCGCGGGCCGCGGCGCTGCCGGCGCTGGCGCAGGCTGCCCGCCGCTCCAGGGATCAGCGCTCTGCACGGGGCAACTCGCGCCCGAGCCTGCAGACGCAATCTGCCAATGGCTGGCGGGGCCCCTGACCATCCAGACCAAATGCGCGCTCGCCGGGGGCCGCTGCTCAGCTCGGCTCGGCGGCCACTGCCGCCCCAATGGCGGCGGCACGGGCGCCGGTGGAGTCGGGGCGCAGGCGCGGGGGAGGAGAGCGCGCCCTCGGCTACGGCGCCAGGCGCAGTCGCGCACGAGGTGTTTCTCTGAGTCACACTTGTAGCATCTGAGTCGCACCCAGCCGGGAACCGCAGGGCTGCCTTGACGGCCCGACCGACGACTGTCTCCTGGAGGTCATTCTCGGACAAGTCGGCCAGAAAGACTCTGTAGCCCTCGCCGTGACCCTTGCCCTTGCCCTTCCTCTCGATGGCCCTCTGGACGCGGCGCGTGGCCTCGCGGTTGTTGGAGGCGTCGCCATCGTGCCTTGGCGCGCCAGTAAACCCGGCAGAGATGCGCGCCGCGCTGCTCCACGGGGACATCGCGCAAGTCGGGGTCGTCGGCGGCTATCTCTCCGTGGCCGAATGAGCTGACGCCGTCGGCGTCGGTGCCCGAGTCGGCGGCAGCTGCCGGGAATTCCTCCTGCGCTGACGGCGCCGGCGCCGGCGCGGGCGGGCTCTGCGCCGCCCCCTGCGCCGATGGACCCAACCCGTCCCAGCTCACTCCGGCTGCTATGCCATAGGCACCCTGAGCCTGATCTTGCGCGGGCGCGCCCGAGAGGAATGTTTGCCGTTGCGCCGAGCGCGCCGCCGAGGCGAGGTTGCCAGGCGACCCCTCGATCACATGCCCAAAACGTCGCAGCTGGCTCGTCATATGTGCGAACTGTGCTGCGTTAGTCGGGCAAGCCATGTCGCAGCGCTGCGACATCATGGTTAGTCGTGCGTTTGACTCCCCCCCCGCGCGCAAGGAGGAAGTTGAGGCCCTCGTAGCCGATCATGAGTTGACCAGCTTGTTGGGCGCGGTCGCGGAGGAGGTCAAGGCGCGCGAAGAGGTTGTCAATGCGCCCCCGTGGTAGCTGAGCGAAGTTCACGGGCGCTGAGACTGCCGAGGCCCGCCCCCCCCTCGCCCAGTTGGCCCCAACGTTCGGCCGAACTGCGCATCGGGAAGGTCGTCGGTGGCAGTGAGTTGCCGTTGATGGCGCTTCCATGGATGAGGACAGCTGGCGGCCACTCGTCCATGCACACTCGGGCTATGCCAGTGAGTCGTGGACGTAGGCCGCCTGGCGGAACTCAGCGAGGTCGGAGTTCGCCACTGACCACACCATCACCTCCCACACCCAACGTTGAAGGGAACCCGCGGTTGCTGCTCGGGCCCCAAGGCGCGGAGGTGTCGCATGCTCCCGTTGCCGCCTCGTGCGCCCATGCAGGCAAGGCAGATTGCCAGGGCGAGCAATGCCCACCCCGATGGCCTACCATCCAGAAAAGATGTCTCTCCATAGACCAAGGAGGATTTGGAGGCCGGGGGCCCAGCGACGGCCTTGCTCCGACCACGAGCAGCGGAGCCGTCGCGGGCCCCTGCCCCGACTGTGCTCCTCTTCGTCAGCGTTTCGGGCATTGTCTTCTATCCTGTCGTTCTCTTCACACTCGGGACACTTCGCGACGCAATTGCGCTCGAGCCCCTCGTGCGTCGCGTCTTCGCTATACTGGGGACCGTCAAATTCACGAACGGGATCTCGCCCTGCCAGCCCGAATATAGAATCGGTGGTTCTGCCGAACTGTCAATTGCCCAGAGAACGTAGACAGATAATCCCAGGCCTGCTACACCTTCCTTGGAAGTACGACAACACAAGTGTCCAACACTCCACCGAGTTGTCAGTCACGTTCTCGCTCTTATCCGCCTGCGGCTCCCAGGGCACTCGTAAAACAGTTGCGGGACGCTCGGGACCATGGGCCGACGCTGTCGATGGGAACTGGTCCTTTCCTCAGCGCGAAGTCCGATGGGCCCCGAGAGCGACTCCTACACAGTTGGGATACGCCCAGGGAGAGAGGCAGGCTGCGGCGGCGGCGGCTGTGTGCCGCGTTCCTTGTGGATCATGAAAGCGCTTTTGCACAGGTAAGTGTGTTTCAAGTACGTCTTAGCGCATATGAAGCACATGAACAGGAAGGGCATGATCCAGAGCATCCTCGCCGAACACGACACCCAGGCTGCGGCGGGAGGCGAAGAGCAAGAGACCGGCGGAGGTGCCACGCGGGCCATGGCGGCGGGAAGAATGTATGTGGTGGAATGGAGCCGGAACTCCGCTACCAACTAGGAAAATGGAGATACAAGTTTGGATACCTTTGTGTCCTGAGCGGACGTGAAAACGGGACGTCTAGAACGCTTCTAACACGGGAACGGAGGGTGGCCACCCTAACGTGCCCATGGACCGAAAGAGCGGCAGCACAGGGAGAACATTAAGGAAGGCAGGATCCGTAGGCTGCTATTCGAGTAGGAGGAGGAGGAGGAGGAGGAGGAGGAGGAGGAGGAGGAGGAGAAGAAGAAGAAGAAAAAGGATCGCCCGCTGCAGATCGCTGCAGGGCCCCCCATGTCCCCCCTGAGGGGCCTCGCGACCGCCGCGAAGCGCTCGGGGCGCCAGCGGCGGATCGCCTGCAGGTCGGGGTCGGCGAGCACCTCGGAGGTCATCGCCGCGGGTCGCCGTCGCCGTCGAGCAGGGGGAAGGGAGGAACTCGATCTTCGACGGGAAAAAGGAGGAGGACGAGGAGGAGGAGGAGGAGGAGGAGGAGAAAGAGGAGAAGGCAAGAGGAGGAAGAGGAGGAGGAGCAGCAGCAGCAGTAGCAGCAGTAGCAGCAGGAGAGGCACGAGAAGCGAGTCAGGAGAAAGAGTGACAAGGTGGGGAGGAGGAGGCGGAGGAGGACGAGGAGGAGAAGAAAAAGGAGGAGGCGGAGGAGGAGAAGGAGGGGGAGGAGGAGGAGGAGGAGGAGGAGGAGGAGGACGAGGAGGAGGAGGAGGAGGAGGGGGAGGAGGTGGAAGTGGAGGAGAAGGAAGAGGAGGAGAAGGAGGGTGATGATTGTGATGATGATGATGATGATGATGATGATGATGATGATAATGATGATGATGGATGGTGATGATGATGATGGTGATGATGATGGTGATGATCGTGATGTTGAGGATGATGGTGATACTGATGATGGTGGTGATGATGATGATGCTGATAATGGTGATGGTGATGGTAATGATGGTGGTGATGATGCTGATGATGATGATGATGATGATGATGGTGGTGGTGATGGTGATGATGGTGATGATAATGGTGGTGGTGATTCATCTGATGGTGATGGTGTTGATGATGGCGATGATGACGATGATGACGATGATGACGATGATGACGATGACGATGATGATGATGATGGTGATGCTGATAATGGTGCTGTTGATGATGATGATGCTGATGATGATGACGATGATGAAGGCGCCGTCGTCGCGCGGAGGCTCACAGCTCGTCGATCGCCATGTCCATGTACTTGTTCTTCTTGCCGTCGTCAATCGCCTTCAGCTCCTTGAGACCGCGGGCGATCGCCGTGGTCTGGATGTAGCTCTCGACGCGGCTGGCGGCGCCGTCCTCCATCGTCTTGATCGCCTGGGCGGCGGCCTTCTCCTGGCGCTCGAGCGTGCTCTCCATGTTGGCCATCAGGGAGGCCTCGAAATCCTTCTTGTCCTTGTCGATGCTGGCGTTGATCTCCGCGATCACCTCCGCTGCCTGCGCCTGGGCCTTCTCGGCCTCCGCCAGGCGACTGGTCGCCTCGTTGAACTTGGCGATGGCGTCGTCGATGTCTCCCTGGATCTCCTTCTCGCGCGTGGCCATCGACTCGCTCAGGAGGGGGCCCAGCAGGTACAAGAGGCCGGCAATCAGCACGGCGATGTTGACGATGCCGGTCTCCGGGATGTCGAGGTTGATCTCGAAGCCCCCGCCGATCGGGATCTTCCCGAAGTTCAGGAAGCCCGCCTCCTCCTCTGCGAGGGCGGGCGCGGCGCCCGCCAGCGTGGCAGCGGCCACCGCCGCAGCGCCGGCCCGGGGCACGGGCTGGGCCGCGGGCACGAAGCAGCACGCGCGCAGAGCGACCGCGGCGGCGAGCCCGAGGAGCAGCGGGGCCGCGACGGCCGAGCGGCGGGCACCCGATCGGGAGGGCATCGCTGTCCAGCCGAGTTTGGCTGGCCGGCCGACCGGGCTGCAACAAAACTCGCGGGCCGCAGGGTGCCTGAGCAAAAACGGCTACGGATGATGGTGCTGGTAACAGTGACGCTGATGCTGATGCTGAAGCTGATGCTGATGCTGATGGTTATGCTGCTGAATGGTGATGATGATGATGATGATGATGATGAAGATGAAGATGAAGATGAGGCTGGTGATGGTGACGGTAATGATGACGGTAATGATGATGATGATGGTGATGATGATGATGATGGTGATGATGCTGATGATGATGATGCTGCTGATGATGTTGCAGATGATGCGACTGCTGATTATGATGGTTATGATGATGCTAATGACGATGGTGGTGTTGACGTTTACGATGCTGATGATGTTGAGGATGCTGATGATGAAAATGACGATGATGAAAGGGATGCTGCTGGTGTTGATGATGATGCTGATGATAATGATACCGACTGTGATAAGGACGATGACAGTGTTGATGATGATGATGCTGATGATGATGAGGATGATGATTATGATGATGGTGTTGACAATGATGATGCTGGCGAAGATGACGTATATGATGATGATATAATGCTGATATGCTGATGATGATAATGATGATCGAGACGATAAAGATGATGAAAATGGTGGTGCTGATGATGATGATGATGTATGATGGTGGAAATGCTGAAGATGATCATAATGCTCATGATGGTGTTGATGTTGACGATGCTGATGATGGTGATGATGCTGATGATGATGACAATACTGACAATGACGATGATAATGGCAACGACGATGATGATGATGCAGATGATGATAGTGATGATGATGGTGATGATGATGATACTGTGAATGGTGATGATGGTGTTAGTGATGATGCTGATGCTGACGATGATGACAACAATAATGAAAGTGATAATGATGATGAGGATGATGGAGATGATGACGATGATGATAATGATGATAATGCTAATGATGATGCTATTGATGCTGATGGTGATAATGATGATGATGATGATGATGGTGATACTGATGGTGATAATGATGATGATGATGGTGTTGATGATGAAGATGTTGATGACGATGGTGATGAGAACGATGATGATCCTGATAATGGCGTTGATGTTGATAGCGATGATGAAAAGAATGATGATTTTGATGAGGATGATGCTGATGGTGATGTTGATGATGATGGTGATGAAGACGATGACAATGATGCTAATGATGATAATGATGATAATGATGATAATGGTGTTGATAATGATACTGATGATGTTGATAATTACAACTGGAATGATGATAATTATGATAATGATGATGGTGGTGAAGGTGTTGATGATGATGATGCGAATGATGATGGTGATAATGATGATGATGGTGCTAATGATGATGATGGTGCTGATGCTGATGATGCGGATAATCATGATACTCATGGCGCCCTTCATGATGATGATGGTGATGATGGTGGTAATGATGATGATAATGATGATGGCGTTGAAGATGTTGATGCTGATGATGATAGCGTTGATGATGATGTTGATGCTGATGATGCTGATGATAACGATGGCAAGGCTGATGAGCATGATGATGGTGATGGCGATGGTTGTGATGATGGTGGTGATGATGCTAATGATGATGATGCTGATGATGCTGATGATGACGAAGGTGGTGATGTTGGTGATGGTGGTGATAGTGGTTATGATGATAATGTTGGTAATGATGATGATAGTGCTGTTGATGATAATGGCGATGGTGATGAGGGTGGTGGTGATGATGATGCTGGTGCTGATGGTGATGATGATGGCGATGACGCGCTCTTGAGGGTGGGTGACTTCAGCTGATGGCCCACCACTCTGAGCCCAGATGCCAAATCTGAGTATGATGGCGTGTCTCGGGGGGCGTAGGCTTGGGCAAAGCGAAAGCGGGTCCAGCATAAGCTCCGGAGGGTGGAATCCGAGAGCAGAGTCGAAGGATTAGAATTCCAGAGGGGAGAGGGCACCCTGGGACGAAGATCAAGAGATAGTCCGCCCGTTCTCCTCCTCTTCCTCCACCTCCTCCGCCTGCTCCCCATCATCATCATCATCATCATCATCATCATCATCATCATCATCATCATCATCATCATCAGCATCCTCATCATCGTCATCAACATGATCATCGTCGTCGTCATCATCGTCATTATCAGCATCATCATCATCATCATTAGCATCGTCATCATCATCATCATCATTATCATCATCATCATCTCCATTATCAGCAGCTGCGCCAGCAGCAGTCTCATCAGCATCATCAGCAGCAGCATCATCAGCGGAATCACTATCATCAGAATCATCAACAACATCACCGACGTCATCCTCAACAGCATCATAAATGCGCACAATCGCCAGCAGCAGCAGCAGCATCACAATCACCACCATCCTCATCAGCAGCAGCATCATCATCAGCATCATCATCATCATCATCATCATCATCATCATCATCATCAGCAACATCATTACCACCACCACCATCGTCATCATCAGAATCATCGTCATCAGCACCATCATCATCATCATCATCAGCAGCAGCATCAGCATCCTCCGTCGTCGTCATCTGCATCATCATCGCCATCGTCAGCATCATCATCAGCATCATCATCACCATCGTCATCGTCGTCGCCGTCGTCACCATGATCACCAGCACCACCATTGCCGTGATCAGCACCTTAGCATCATCATCGTCCTCATCCTCATCATCATCCTCATCATCATCAGCAGCATCATCATCAGTAGCAGCAGCAGCAGCAGCAACATCGTCATCATCCTTATTGTCGTCGCCGTCGTCGTCATCGTACTCATCATCAGTACTACCATTATCATCATAATTCTCCTCAGCATAATTATCATCATCAGCATCATCGTCATCAGCATCCTCATCATCATTAGCAGCAGCAGCAGCACAACCACCATCATCCTCATCATCAGCAGCAGCACCATCACCGCCATCAGCATCAGCATCATCAGCAGCATCATCATCAGCATCAGCATCCTCATCATCAGCAGCATCAGCATGAGCAGCCTCATCATCATCATCATCATCATCATCATCATCATCAGGAGCAGCAACAGCAACATCAGCACCAACGTCATCATCAGCATCATCATCAGCAGCAGCAGTATCATCATCATAGCCACCAGCACCACCATCATCATCCCTATCATAACAATCATCAGCATCATCACCATGATCAAAATCATCGATGTCCTACCCTGGCCAGAGGGAGAACACGAGAAGCGGGAAGGCGGGCTCTGGTGGTATAGTGGGGTGGCGCAAGAGAGGCAGGCAGCTCCAACCGCCAACGGGCTTCCCTCCACCTCTGGGAGGGAGAAAAGAGGGAAAGGGGGAAGCAGGACAGCTGGCCCGTTCCAAAAACCCTGCGCCCCAAAATGTCGACACATCGCTTCTACTTCCGCCGGCCTTCCGCAACGCCCACGCACCATTTCGGCACACCACTCACACGCTTCGTGGCCCCAGAGGAGTCCCTCCGAAAGCCCCAGTGGCAGGGTTCGCGTGCGTCCCCCCGCCCCATGTCGGCACACCCTTCACACGCTTCATTGCCTCATAAGGAGCTCCACGGTTCGCATGCGCCCGCCCGCCCCATTTCGACACAACCCTCACACGTTGCGTGGCCCCATAGGGAGCCCCTCCGAAGGCCCCAGAGGCAGGGGTCGCATGCGTCCCCCTGCACCATTCCGGCACACCGTGCACACGCTTCATGGCCCCTTTCCGCAAGGGAGTTGCACCGAAGGCCCCAGTGACAGAGTTCGAGCATGCGTCCCCCCACACTATTGCGGCACACCCTGCGCACGCTTCGTGGCCCGAGAGAGGCCCCAGTGGTGGGGGTCGTTCGCATGCGCCAGCCCGCACCATGTCGGCACAGCCCTCGCACGTTCCGTGGCGCCACACGGAGCTCCCCCGAAGGCCCCACTAGCTGCGTTCGCATGCGTCCCCCCGCACTATTCCAGCATGGCCTTCACACGCTTCGTGGCCCCAGAGGGAGCTCCACCGAAGGCCCCAGTGGCAGCGTTCGCACGCGCACTATTTCAGCACACCCTGCACACGCTTCGTGGCCCTATAGGGATCTCCCCCGAAGGCCCCAGTGGCAGGGTTCGCATGCACCCCCCCGCACCATGTCGGCACACCCCTCACACGCTTCGTGGCCCCATAGGGAGTTCCTCCGCAGGCCCCAGTGCCAGGGTTTGCATACGCCCCCCCCCCCACCATGTCGGCACACCCCTAACACGTTTCGTGGCCCCATAGGGAGTTCCTCCGCAGGCCCCAGTGGCAGGATTCTCATGCGTCCGCCCCACACATTTAAGCACACCACTCACACGCTTCGTGGCCCCATGGGGAATGCCACCTAAGGCCCAGGACGCGACGTTTGCATGCGTCCGCCGCCCCATGTGGGCACCCTCACACCTTTGATGGCCCAATAAGGAGCTCCTCCGAAAGCCCCATTAGCAAGTTTCGCATGTTTCCCCCCGGCACAATTTCGGCACAACCCTCACACGCTTCGCGGCCCCATAGGGAGCTCCTCCGAAGGCCCCAGCGGCGGGGATCTCATGGCCCCACCGCGCATATGTCGGACGCTACGCGGCCCCAGAGGGAGCTCCACCCAAAGCGGTACCCACAGCACGATATTCACAACTGCATATGTTTGAGCCATTCGCTCGGATAGTTTGTCAGGGACGGCGGAAGTACCAGCATGTGACCTGCTGTGCGCAGAGCCACCGTCCCTGCCAAGAACGATGCAAACTGCACGTCGCAACTGAATCTGGGTTATGATCGGGCATCCCGCGATCACATTGCATTGGTTTTTGAAAGGGACGGCGGGGGTGCTGCCACGGTGCCTGCTGTGGACAGGCCCACCAGACATCAGGATGGCCATTCCGTGGCGATTGTCCACTGGCTTTTGACACGGATGATGGAGGCCGACATGTGTCCCGATGTGCGCGGGCGCACCTGGCACATTCTGCGCGTGCCCCGAACGTGGCGCACCTGACGCAGCTGGAGCATGCGGCACACTTGGCGTACGTGGAGTGCGTGGCACATCTGGCGC